AACAACATCCGTGTAAAATACTATACTTTTAAACATAATATAATATTAAGATAACATCTAGGTACCTATATATTGTATTATTATAATATGTGTAAAATACCACGCGAATCCGGTTAAAATACAATATTCCCACGCAGAGGGCAGAAGTGTCATTCGGAACTCACGGCGGCGGTAACCCCGGTCGTAAGTTTACAACCGCCCGTATATTATTATTATTATTATTATTATAACGGTGCGAGAGTATAATATTAATATTATGCGAGATCGGCCGGACTGGCGAATCGGAAATCTTTTACTACGCGGACAGACCTGAACAAACGGGTTACGGAATCGGCGCGATGGCTTTTTTGGTACACGCCGAGACTTACCCGCCGCCGCCGCCGCCCGACGTGATTCTCGTCCGTCGTCCGTTCATTCATGCATCGGTTCGAGTGGCGCGCGTGCGCCGGAATCGCGTATATACCTAGTTGTACTCAACGCGTTTCGCCGTAACGAATATAATATTACGCGATATCGGCGGTGCCGGTGCCGGGCTGGCCGTGTCGTGTTTCCGAAAGACCTGTTTGCGCGGAGAATCGCGCGCGGTCCGCCATCTGGCGGATAACGGTCATCGCCGTTTCTCGTATATACGCGTATTACCATCATTATTAATATTATTATTATTATTATTATTATATACTCGTAATAATAATATAATAATATGGTATATTATATTATACACCAACAACTTACATCGTCGTCGTAGTCGTCGTCATTATTATTATTATTAAAACACCGCAGCTCCCCGCAAGCCCACCACACGAACTACGGGTCGACCGAAGAACGACGACGACGACGACGACGACGACTGGAAACCGGCCAACAGCAATACTCGCCGCCGCCGCTACCACGACGCGACGTCCGTGGTCCGTCTCATTCATCGTTTCGCCGCCGTCGTGTCCGTAGTCTTTGCCGTGCCGTCTTTATTGTTGCGTGTCGTGCGTGTCGTCAGCGAGCGTACATAATAAAAATATTATAATATTATACACTTGTCGGTTGCGCAGTTATTATCGCGCACACGCATTGGTCCGGTTAATTTTTTTAAAATTTTTTCTCGTTATTTTAATTAACCTTTTTTTTTACCTTATCCGTTTGATTTAATATCAAATCGGACCATATTAATATATTAGGTATTATTACCTATACTTGCGAATTTTGTTTTATTTTCTTCAACCGTATGTATATTATACATATAGACCATACATGTAGAAAATATGCAAACCCTCGGTTAAGAACGAATCGCCAATACGAATGCTGATAATGAAATCGCCAGATCAAATATTACACCGACCGTAGTGCGACAAGACAAGACGGTCGCCAATTCGCTTCATAACAATATAATTATTGTTGTTTCGAATATTCATCTACTGCTGTTGTCTATTGCTGCCCTACAGATTACAGTTCATTTGGGTTTATAGGTAACATATTTTACGTATTTTTCAAGTTATAGTGTCATGCTTTGACAGTTTGACTAACTTGTAGATTTTAAGTTATCATTACATTAAGTCAATGTTTTTATCATTATTTGTTAGAATTTTAAGCATTTTACACATTCTTGTGGCTATAATATATCATTATCGTGATTCATGGTGAAAACAGAAAAATTACAAATAATACGTAACAAATACGCTGAATATTGAACGTATTTTTAATATAACATGAACCACCCGTCCATTAAAGCGATAAGACATCTTACACCTGTTGGTCGTATCGAAATAATTAACTCGATTATCAGTTATCTTATCTATATGTAATAGTTACGATAGCACAAGTGTTCACAACACACTATTGGTACTAGAGTGTATGGTTTAGAATATCTCAACCGAGTGACAAGTATCATTATAGATCATATACTTTCAAACTATTAGGTATTACCTTTATAATATAATATATTATTATGTCAAGTGCACACTAATATTTTTGTACATTCAAAAATAATTTTCATGTGAAATGTATCTCAATTAATTTTACTAACATTTAAGTATAATATTACATTTTTATATAGAACTTTAGGCTTTGGGGATGAACTGAGGGATAAACTTTTAAGATCCTCTATAATTTGTTGTGGTAATAGATAATATAAAATGATTTAAATGCAGTTACATCTGTATATTTAAAATATTAATACCTACTCAAATTCAATCCCAAACCAAGGGCATCGTATTCATTATACTATTATAGTGTTCTTTTTTCGTTGCTATTTGATCAATTCTCGGATACATGACCTCGACAGCCCTCCGAACATCTGGTGGAAGGCAATAGCGTAATTCTTATGTTTGTATATGGTAAAATTCTCCAGTCATATAAGTGTAGGGATCCAAATTTTAATATCATACAGGCTTTATAACCCTTATTCGAATAATGATCATTTTTACTTTATTACAAAATAAACCATGTAATATACGTAGTGCTGTTTATGTTAGGTTATAATGTACATAATAATATGAAAGGCCTACAAAAGAGTTTGCAGAGTATGCACATATGGTTGCGCTGGTATTGCTAGAACAACATTTTATATTTTATGTGATACCTTTATCCAGCACTAAATAAGTATTATTAAATTTAATTATTTCACAAAGAACTTATATAAAAATATATATTACAAGTGTTTTAGACTTTTAGTCAATATATAATTGATACAAACTAGTAAAGGTTTTAAAAAAACTTTTAATATAACGCTATTTACGAAGGTATAGTTTGTAGTTTGGATTGTTCAAAATGGCACCATTCTTATTATCACTAAATAGTTTAAATACTATTGTTTTATCTTCAAATGTTAATTATATTATCTACTTTCCCCACCATTGACAAAGCACCTAAACACGAAGTTGTGTCTATGAAACTGTACTTTGTTCTTTAGTTCAATTTTTTTTTAATCAATGGAATCTTCGCCGGTGTGCTAAACTCAAACGTGAGTGAAATTCAATAGTCCGAAAAAAAATTCAAAACCCTTGCCTCTTGTACTCGTCCCAATAGATCACGCCCGTATATATATATCGCATAATATATCTCCTATACTACCACCTAGAACGTACCACCTATAAGTATTGTAATATTATATACAACCGATGACGTAGTCGTCCTTCTGCACACCTGCTGCTGCTGGTGCTGCTGTCATGCCAAGTATCTACTCTTTTACACACATACGCACACACATGTTCATAAAACATACACACATACACACACTCGACCGTCATCTGGGAAGCAGCACAAAAACGGCGTCGTGTGTCGTTTTTTTCCTTACAATATCCGTCTACTACGTTCGGTGGGTAGTGTTGTACCCCTCCGTGTCGTCGCCGCCGAAGTCTCTCTCACTCGGTCCCTCTCACTTGTTCACTCTGTCTATTTTTCTCTCTCAATCTCTCTTTCTCCATGTGTCTGCCGTCTACCGCGATATCACCCATTCAAGTATCGTGTTACTTAACCATGGCGCGTACCCGTACTTACTTACTATGCACTACCTACTACAACCACCACACGGCTGCACCACTAGTACTACTACTCTGCAGCTATATCTCCTATTAGTGTAGAGGAGACTTTATGTGTGTGTATTATAATCGAGGGAGAGCAGAAGGCTCACAATATATGCTATATATATATTATATATGTATATAGTGCCGTTTTCCTTACTTGTGCGTGCGTGCGTTCGTGCATGCGTGTGCAACCGGTCGTCGCCATCGTCGTCGTCGTAGACCTAGTCTCTTTCGTTCGGTGACGATAAACCGTCGGGGACGGGGTCGGTGGGGACAGAAACGAGAGACGACCGTGTGTGCCGGAGAAATATACAGAGAACGAAAGGGCGGGCGGAGAAGCAAACTAATATAATATATATGGTCGAGCGTGTGTGTGTGTGCGATGGTAGACAGGAGAGATTCGTGGGAGAATAATATTATGGCTAACCGAGCCGCCCGCGTAAAAAAGGGATGTATGCGTGTGGTTTTGGGAATATTATGCTTATTACATATTGTGTACTACAAGAGGCGACGGCAATGAGTTCTTTGTGCCGAAATAAAACCAACGCGTTTCGCACCCGCTGATGGTTTGTTGATTTTGTTCTCGCAATTGTGCGAATGTTTTTATTGCATGCCAAAATATATTATCTGTTACTTTACAATAATTACACACTCATATGCTCAATGATGCATTATCATTGATGCAATTATTTAAATCGTTTTATTTGAATGACGATGAATGCATTTCTTACGTACCTATCTATATTATACATTTGTATACAGTTGAGGCTACTCAGTACTTTCCGGTTTTCTCATAAGGCTAACACAAGAAAACCACAATTTCCCACACGTCTACCCTGTACATAACAATATAATATATGTGCTATAATACTCAATTACGACCACGTAAGATTATTAAATTTTATTTTTATTAAACTGTTAAAAACACAAAACAACGATAAAGTATTGTAGAATTATTCGAGAAAACTCGATAGTTCATAAATATCCGAGTTTTTAGATTATATACCTATATCTGGTGTCCAGATGATGTGAAATATAATGAGCGTTTGGTAATTTGTTTTTTATGTACTTCTGTATAACACTTTGTGTTTTGTCTATGAAAATCGCCTAATAAATAACATTATATTTGTGTATATAAATTGGAGAGGTTTGAGTGTACTTTACGTTTTCAAAGGATCGCTTTATAAAGTTTTAGGTACTTGTAAAAATAATAAAGTATTCACTTTCCAATATTCAAGTTACCTATTATATTCCTAGCTGTGCCAACGAATAATATAACAATTTTCCATTGAAAATTGTTTTCACTGTTTTTTAATGATAATAGACGATTATTATTTTTAACTGATATTTGCACGTTATTGATAGACATTTATGATAATGTGAACCATGATGTTCAATTGTTAAACTAATTGTATTTAATTAAACAGGTGAACAGTTATACCCGCCGGTGGTCACTAAAAACAGTGGCTAATACCGGGTTAGAGTAGTATGGACTCTGACGAAGACTTCAAACATTATTCGTCGTGCTATTACGACGACGACACTGATCGAGCTTTTTATCCAGAGAACGCACAACATCAACATCAATTAGGTACTAAAAGTTGGCTCGACTGCGAAAAAACGCCAGTAGTGACTCATAGGCAATCTCAGTGCCCACCACAACAGAGAATACTTGACAATATTGTGACATCATCAAACAAAGTTCGTAATAGTAAAAGCGTATTAGAACGATGGACTACAAGTTCTGAACTATCTAGAGACTTAACGTGTGATGTAGACGCCAATTCTCTACGTTCAGTAAGTACATATTCATTTTTACTAATTATTTGACTATTTATGTGAATCGTTAGTCACTTACGGGTTATCTGTTAAGTAGCTTATACTTCCCAATTTAAACAAATTTACCTAAATGTAAGTACCGAAAACTAATAAATGCGCCTATTAGTTGAGTAACTAGAATATACTATATCAGCACGATACAGAACTCGTCAATCAATAGTAATAAACACTAATCATAATCATAACTTATAATAAACATTTAAAGTGTTTTTAATGCACTTAATTGTACTTTTATTTACATAATACATTTTAAAATTAACTTTTATATTTCTTAGTTTTTATCAATGTTAATTTATTGAACCTGCAAATGTAAATTGTATTTATAAGAGCATTAATACTAAATAGTATCATTATGTTCAATATTCATTATAAATATTGATATGAGACCAATTTGATCAAATTAATATACATTATATTTTTATCTATTATAACCTTTTTCAATAAAATAATGCTGCTTGTAATTATCGGTAATGGTCCAATTGTGACTTACCTTAATTATTTTAATAATATTACTGTCCTCGAATATTGAAGGTAATTAAAAAAATAATATGTTCTTAAGTTCTTAACAGAATGAATACAAAGCTATAATCTCATTGTATTTGGCCGCGCAATAAGCTAATAAGGAACAAACAAAATATTTTTTACCACAATTCTGATTCTGAGCAAATCGATAAATATGTATTGATTTTATGACTTTTTTGCAAATATTTTTTTAAGCAGTGAAGTTACATATTGTAGGAAATCTAGTCTCAGATCAGAATAATTTATCGTTGCTCTAAAATGTATGGTAATAATACATTACTATTCTGTGCATAGTTGAGTGAAGCTAGTTAATTTTTTCAATTTGCCATTTTTTTCGTTATACCCATAGAAGTTTGCGTAATTGCGAGATAACTGCGTTATTTATTTTATATATACACTCGAGTGAATATTTCGATTAATTATTCTATATTGACGTGACGAAACGAGATGGGTCATTTATTTTTTTGTCATTCAGTATTTATTAACTTATGTTTGTTGGTAAATTATTTCCCAACAGGTACCTGTGTAGGATTCTCTCAAGGCGAGTTTTCATTAACCCCAATTACAAAGTTTAGTTATACCACCACTCTAACCACACTAACCAATTGTTTAGATACACATCATACGTATACTTATTGTGCAAAAATACTTTTAATTCAGATACAAAATAGTTTAAATAATGTATATCTATATTCTATGTATTATTGTATTATCTGAATTATATAGTATTAAACTAATAACAAATACAGACTGATTAATGTATATAGTATCATTATACTATGTAGGTATTATATTATATTATATTAATATGTCGGGTTCTAATCTTTATACTCCCAGTTTAGTATAAAATATAAATGTAATGATAAAACAATAATTCATTTTGCAGGCTTGGAAAATATTTATTTTTTATTTCAACTCGTCCTATTTAAAGTCAGTTAAAAAATAATAACTTTTTAGTATTGATAAATGTCTGTGAATAATTATTTTAAAAGTCAATAATGATAATAAAGTGAATATAAAACTTGGTTTAAAAAGTTAACATTTTAAAAGAAAAGGGTTTTTTTCTCATCTATACATTTTGCCAAGTTTTATTATCAGTATAATACTTATAATTTATAAAATATAGTTATAGCATAATTAGCTATTCGTATTATTATTTTAATATTTACGTGACTAAATATATATTAACTTCTGCGACCGTAGTCCATCCGGTGTTGGTGATGCGGTGCTGTGTGCATCCGGTTTTTCTATCTTCATTCACCTGACCGTTGCTTACAGGAAGTACTGCAGGAATAACAATAATAACATCGTATACACGCCACTTATTCTAACGATTGTTATTATTAGATTCTTTAAAAAAATTTAATACGAGCAAAGGAAACGAACGATGGTTCTTTGGCGTTGACAATAATAACAACGTAGACAGTAGCAAAGTAACAGATGATATAGAAAAATCAAAAGCGGCAGTGGAAAAGATTTATTATTGTTATCAGAAGGGTACTAAACTAAACCGGCCGCATCCATCCCTATGTATTAAGTATATTATAATAGTAAAACAGCGGCGTTACGGTCTCCTCAACAATCTTGTAGTATTATAATGTCTTGTTGTTATTATTACAACGGCTATGATACTAATAACGTGTTCCGCCGGCGCGAGAAAAGACATTTCCGGTTTTTTAAATAACAATAACTATAGAATAGCGACATTTAACTCGTTAAAAAAAAAAAGAATAATAATAATAAAAAACGAAAATATGATGTCGGGGGCGATTCATTTAATCTTTAGATCTTCAGTTTGTGTGCATCAAGTGGGTACTGGGTACTAATAATAAAAATAACGCTGACGAAAGAAGAAATCATTTGTTATTATCATGCATAAAAAATATAATATATATTATATGCTAGTACGTTACTGGAATATATATATTTAAACTTGAACAGTTGAATATATGTATTTAAACATAAATATATTTATAAGCACAATCTCCATCACTCCAGTAGGTAGGTACACGATTGTGAAATAAAATTAAGGAAATTGTTATTGAGAAGTTTAAAATTTAAATACATTGTTTGTCTTTGTGCCCTCTGTCTGTAGTCATTTTCAAATCCCGCAGTTTTGTCCCGTGTAAATCTGTATTTGGTCCAATAATTGAATAATATAGATTTACTGATAATTCGTATTTCATCAGAGTCTAGAATTTTACGCAACAAATAATTGTACCCATGGTTGTTGTATGTATAATTTATTGATTGTTATTCTTCATTTTTCAAATTCACTTGAATAATAAAACCATGGTATGTAAAACACTTTTTTTGATCAAGGTGTCATTGGAACCTATATTGTAAAATAGCCATGTATTAGCATATATTATTATGTCTACACGTATTATTATTACTATTATTATTATTATTATTATTATTATATGCATTGTGGTGGTGGTGTTGTCGATGTTGGACGATGATAGTAGTGGTGGCGGTGAATAATAATGAATGGATCTTTTAATATACACGTTACGTACATGAATAATCTCGGTGTCTTGGGGTATTTTATATTTTCTTTGTTTTACATGTCTGGACGATGAGTAGTTTACATGAGTGGTACACGCGATGAATATTAAAATCTCATAGGTTTTTCACGGATTCAATAATCGTCAAACCTTTGAATTTCAATTGTGTTATTTCATTATTGTTATATACCGTATATATCTACTATTTTTTTTATATTTTATTAGTACCGGCAAGAACGACAGATATTATATATTCGAATATTCGACACCTCGGCTGTTCAAATGAAATATTTGTGTTTTTTTGCATTATATAATATTCCAAATTGTCATTGTCTTGAACAATAATAATCTATAAAAAATTAATATTTAATTTTTGTTAACTAAATTTGGATAGTTGAATTGAAATAAAATGCCATGAATATGAAAAGGTTTTAATTATAAATTAAACAAAAATAACATTTCTTATCTACTGTGGTGAAAGGGTGCGTTGATGATGGTTATTCAGTAGAAACAGCTGTGGTGACTGGGTAACGACTCCTACACACAACCAGAGTACCAGACACCGCCGTTGTTACAGACTGTAGTTGTAATGCTGCATACTGATGCTGCTGTGTTCACAATATGCGTTTACGTTTTATTTATATAAAATGTTTAACGCTCCCAAATCGTACTGTTCAATGAAAATAACTCTTTTAACATTATATTGTAACCTATTATTGTATTAATCATACAAGCTCGATTATGTATCCCATACATTTCAATTGATTAAAAATTAATCTGTTCACACCGATAGTCCCTAGCAATCATTGAATCATACCTTATACTTGGAAATCGTGTTAACGGAATTGTGATCATTTCGTATAATAATATAAAACGTTATATTATTATTATCAAGCAGCTTTTTAACGTATTAGTTATATTACATAATTATAATATTATAATATAATATATTAGTATATTACCTATTCACCTAAGATTAGTTTCACTTATATTATTCCTGTTATAATATCATAATATAATAATGTTTATATTAATATGTAAAACGAGTCTTGTGTGAAACACATAACGAGCGACTATCTGTATAGCAACAGCAATAACGTTGCTCACACACACTCTTATATGTTATACAGTTGGATTGAAGCCAAGTTCCGTCGAATTTTCATTATTTAGTCTCACTTTAAATTCTGATGGCGCTGTAGACGATACTCCACAACTGCATGTGATTGAAAATAATTATAAAATAATAAATATTTCATTTCAAAGTATAACATAAAACTATCGTTTGAATAACCAAAATATCTTTTAAAAGTTAGTGTTTATTTTTTATTTTTTATTTTTCATTAAATATGAAAATTAAAATAATAACATTAAATTATAATAATATTTTTTTCATAATCGTTATCCAACCAACACCAAACGTTACAGTAAACACGGAGTATTTAAATTATTATGTTAGTTAAGCGTGGGCTTTGGAGGTGGTAGCGATAGTGTTGTATAGTGTGTAGTTTCGTTATGATCAAGATGGGTATTATTTTTAGAATACATAGCATACATATACATTAGCATTTACCACCTAAATAATATATATATAAGTATATAAACTTACGCACGCATATTAAATTTGTATACAATATATAATCATGGCTATCATTAGACATTATATTATGGAAGTACTGAACATTGGTCTTGAACACGAGTAAACTTAAGTCTCAATATTATGTATTTTTTTTATTTCATTTATTAGTTTAATATATACACTGTAATAGTTTGGACAATATTCCTTTCTTCTCCGTATGTTTATAATAACAGATTAGTTTATACTTTTGTCGAAGATTTTTTTTCAATAGAACTTTACAGAATTGATTTAAGAACTGTTTTTTGGTTATATTATCCAGAACAGTTGATCTCTAACAGTTTATAATAAAAAAC